TAACATTGCCGTCCAGGAATCTTTGAACATATAGTTTGACAATAATTGCATGGATAGTACAGCCATTTCAACAAGGATTTATTTACTATATGTTCTTAAAACTGAAATTAATTAGAAATACTATTAAAATAAATTAAATTAATTAATTTGATGTGAATTTAGCTTTAGTTAACAACACTCATACAAGTTCATAAACATAAACCAAATACAATTTTTTTTTAATAGAAACGATTTGCAGGGTCGTCCAGATGAACTTGGAAATAGTACCATAGATAAAAGGAGTAGACATACTCTGTCATACATACATGTCTATACTTCTTTTATCTATGATAGGCTAGTTCATTAGAAAATCTGAATATACAGTAGTGCCGTGCATTTGAAGTACTTACTCAGAACACAGACTTACTTGAGGACAGTTAAACAATAAAACGCAAAGATCCACGGAAGTAAAGACTACATTATTTAGTAAAAAAAAAAACAAGGATGCGTCAGTTAGGGCCAGTTAGACAATTGAAGTACACAGAATTGAATCACCATAGCATTGTCCACGCAACAACGTGAGAGGATAAAACATGTACTTCTTCAATTATAATTACATGTTTCTGTGTAAAACCGAAGACGTCTACAGACTTTACTAAGAAAAACTTCTCCCCGGTAACACAGGCAATGGGAATTCCTTCTAGACAAGGTTTTCAATAGGCCTACAACAAAATCATAAAACAAAAGATGTTTCTCAGGCTAAGTAGCACACTGTGCACTTCAGCAAATAAATAGTTTACCGAGATAACTATTGCTTACCAAGACAGCAGTGTCATTTAAGGAGAAATAGTACAAACTAATGTCACCAAAAGTCTAAATTCATTCTCTATTTTATTTTTTAAGAGAGGGAAAAATAGACAACAAAGCTTTAAATAACCGGTATTATCAATTTGTATTTATCTCTCAATTGAATAAATGTAACGGTAGTTACCTCACCACTGTTAACAATATTTGACCCTCCTATTACATAAATATGTTAGTTAATTTAATATTCAAACTCGTGTACATGTTGCTCGAATTCGAGCAATTTCAAAGTAATACAGAATTTATTTCAAAACGAAAAAAAGTAATAATCAATGAGTTTAAAAGAGTCAACACAAAGATCACCAGTGTGTAACTGCTGGAGATACTCACGATGTATATACAGTAATCAACATTTCCTGTAAATATTTTATCATATTTCATAAATTGGTATTGCTTTTTAATGTTTCTACAAATGTTTCCTGACTTATAACTGCATAAGGTTGTCCATGTTTATCTTATTTATTGATAAACCTATGTATGGCACCACCCTTGTCGCCAGCAGTAAGTTTACAAATTTCAGTAATTTTTTAATAAAGATAAACACTTTTTTGATCATATTAAGGACTTCCTGTTGTCTGTAACAATTTTATTTGTTCAATCGGCGTATTTTTATTTATTTAGCTAAATAAAACATTTATTTCATTGAAGTAAACTAATATAGGCCTATTTATATTCACTGTACTGTGTATAACAAAATATCGATTGAGAAACAAACAATTACACGTAATAAGAACGTCGCTAGTCCGCTGCATTGTGATAGCTGAAAATCGTCGGAATGAAAACCGCCGCTACAAGATACAGAAGTTGGTACGCCTGCAGTGCCCTCCACAGCTGCGCGCGCCGCTGGCACTGCCGCTCAACACATCCCCACCTAAAAGACGAGCAAGTGGTAAGTCGGTCGGGAGGATTGACGACAAGTTGGTTTCTCGTATATAATAATTTAGATTTACAGGCCGGTCAACTGGACTGACGATGAAATAACTTGTCGACGTACTGGTTTTCAGTATTTATCTATTTAATTAAAAAAGACGGTCTAGTGGCAAGACGACCAAGTATCTTGTCGGTCAACTGGTGGCCCCCCCAAAATATATCCATAAACAAGCAAACTACAACATTTTACAATATTCTCCATAAGAATAACATGGGAATTTTAAATTTACCATTTTTTTAGTTTTCTCCGTAACCAATAACCGTACAAAAACACTTTGATATACTGAATTGTTTGTTTTTTTAAGCTCTTTAAGAAGGTTTAGAGAAAAATTGGGAAATTTTGTGTTTTGAGGGTAAAAAGTGAGAAAAACCAATTTTTACCCCATAAAACCCCCCATAAAACCCTGTTCCCATGGTCCGATCATGCTGGATCGCGAACTCATTCAAGTTTATCCCGCCTTACACCTTCAAACCAAATTGCATCAAAATCGGATAAAAATTACTCAAGTTATCGTGTTCACGGACACATATATATATATATAAATCTATATATATATATACCTACATATATATATACATATATAAAAATTTGAACGAATGGTGTTTTTGGCCTCTGGGGACATTAAAATGAAAAAGTAAATCGGTCCCGGGCCTAAGTCTTACCATGAGACCTACGGTAATAGCTACTTCCCTATAGGGAAATTCGCTAAAAAGTAGCATGGGTGTTAGATAGATCATCAAGTTGGCTAATTCTTGTTTTGAATACTCCTTGCTTTAGAATCAAGGCATAACTTACATTTTTAACAAAGCAAATTTCATCAAACCACACTTCATTATGTGAGGTGCCAAATTTTAAAGGTGGGTAAAAAACATATTGTGAGTAAACAAACAATAGGACTTCCTTTTACATCCACGAAAGCCTACAGGTCTATGTGTTAGCCATAGTACCAAACCAAGCTATTGTATGTGCAAACACAGTAGGCCTAGGCTCAAACACATTAGATATATTGACCTAGACCCACTCACAAGGTTTACTTATTTATAACAACATTCCAAACCCAATAATATGGTTGGCTCCATTTTACAACTACATGTAATAACGATAGCATAATAACCCCCTACATTAGTAAATGTAGACCCCTCTCTATAGTTGAGTAGTATATGTTTTAATACCCCTCTCTTAGACGTTATGAGTAGCGATTGTTAGTAATTGGTCGTAGGTAAAGTAGTATCTTTGTAATTGGTTCTATACTATTGAGCTAATTAAATATTTTACAACTATAAATTAAGTGTTTGAATTACCTCTAGTTCTGAACCAAATGCAAGAGTTAGTCTAGAACTACAGAATATGGGTTTCGGAGATCATGTTCTGAACTTAAATTAATTCAGGACTTTATTTAATTTCCATATTAGCCTATTAGATTCCCAAGCAATTGAAGTATTCAGACAAATCCAAAATTAAGACCCCAACCCGAGACTATTCGTTAAATATCCAAATTTTTTGGATAGACTATGTTTTTTGACATTTTGGACTCAAATGACGACTATAAGGCCACCGAGACATTGCCTTGCCATATAAATTCTTTGCATCAAGACACAAACACTGAGACATGGCCTTGCCATATAAATTCCTTGCATCAAGTCACAAACACTGAGACATTGCCTTGCCATATAATTTCTTTGCATCAAGATACAAATACGGAGACATGGCCTTTCCATATATATTCCTTGCTTCAAGATACAAATACGTAGACATGGCCTAGCAATATAAATTGTTTGCGTCAAGATAGAAACAATGAGACATGGCCTTGCCATATAAATTCATTGCATCAAGATACAAACAATGAGACATTGCCTTGCCATATAAATTATTTCCATCAAGATAAGGGATGGACGGGATTGAATTTTTAGTTCGGGACGGGATTTTTATTTCCTTCCCAATTTTCGGGACGGGACGGGATTTTTTTCTGTGCATAAAAAGAAAGTATTGAGTACTGCAGTTACCAAAAAGACAAACAAAATCAATTTTTACCGTTTGTGGCACTGATCTTTAAAAAAAAAAAAATGGTTTAGTACAACAATCTACAGGTATCTATAGAAACTTGTGACTTGCGGTCACGGTGCAATTGTCAAAATGACCGTGGTCACAGGGTGATCGTCGGAATGACTCGTGGTCACGGCGCGATCGTCGGTATGACTCCGCGGTCACGGCGCGATCGTCGTTATGACTCCCCGCGGTCACGGCATGATCTCGGTATGACTCGCGGTTACGGGGTAATCGCCGATCACGGCATGATCGTCAGTATGACTCCACGGTCACGGGGTGATCGTCGGTATGACTCGCGGTCACGGCGTTATCGTTGATATGACTCCGCCGTCACGGCGCGATTGTCGCTATGACTTAAATTTTGCCTTACCAAATAAATTGTTTCTCCAAGATATAAGGTATACACTGAGACACGGCCTTGCCATATAAAGCGTTTGCATCAAGGTATAAGGTATACACTGACAGACATAGCCTTGCCATATAAATTCTTTGCATCAAAATACAGTAGAACCTTGATAACAAGACTCACATGGGGATTATAAAAAAGACTTGTTATCAAGGTTGTCTTCTTATCGAGGTTTGCAATAACATGTGATTAGGGGTAAAATAAATTCTAGGGGATTTAAAGATGACACTTGTTATCAAGGGTGACTTGTTATCGAGGGTCTTGTTATTGAGGATCTTGTTATCGAGGTTCCACTATACAAACACTGAGACATGGTCTTTCCATATAAATCGTTTGCATCAAGATATAAGGTACCTACAGTATTCGTGAAGTTGAGTAAGCTGTGAATTTTAACTTCAGTTTTTATAACTGAACCAAGATTAATGACTTACAATATCACAATAGTGAATAGTTTACAATTCATATTGTAGTTTATGTATATAAAAATGAAAATTATAACTTCTTACTTCAACCTTAATATTTATTTATTAAGTACGGTACTTGAATGTCAAACTATCCGAATCCGAAAATATCCGAATCCGAATCTCTAATTATCCAATCTGATCCGATCCGAACCGAGCCTTAACTATCCGACCCGAGTCTGATCCGAACTGAAATTTCACTATCCGCACCTCTACCTCATACATAAAATTTAAAAATAACACTAATTGATCTTGTAAATCAACATGGTATTCTGGTGAGCCTATCATATTCTAACTTTGTTTCCATTTTCAGTGCCTGAGCAACTGCGAACCCATTACCCAGTATTTCCTTGAAGGAAAGCATGAGAGGGAGATTAACACCACCAATCCCCTGGGGCGGGCAGGACAAATCGCTACCTCGTTTGCTGATCTCATATCCATGATGTGGTCTGGCAAACACTCCACTGTTGTACCACATTTTTTCAAGGTAAAAAAAAACAATAGGGATGGCCAAATCTTGAATTTTTGAGAAATTCACAAGATTTAAAAAACATCTCGTTAGTAAGAGCAAGGTTAACTTTGCTCCAAGACGAGATTATAAAAAAAAAAAACGCCTTTGCAAAGGATGCGGAACATTAACACGCTCCTGTATTGCGGGTATTGCAGAGCCTTTCTAAAGGCGTTTTTTAACTGTGTATAATATAGTTGAGATAACAATAAATTAAGCTAGAGGTGTTGAGGCTCTACAGTAAAGGTATACTTCTTGATGGTGGAAGTGTGTATATTGTAAGACAGGGCTGCCACATGAACAACAATAAAATAATACATAACTGAATCAAGTGGTATTCAGTCCAACCTCGGTATAATGAATCTGAAGGGACCGAACTGAATATTCGTTATATCAAGGATTTCGTTAAAACGAGGTTCGTTATATTGAGGTTAGGTTTGCAGGAATTTCGCTAAGTCGAGGTTCAGAACCAGCATCAGTCAATATAGGTCGGGATTGGACCTTATTAAAACAAAATTAAAGTAGCATAGGCTACAATACTTTACAGTGTACAGTGTTTACATTGTAAAGTAGAACGTTTATTGTCCGGGGTAATAAAGGGAAGGGATCTTTAATATTGCGCAATCATGACGTTTCTAGTCATTGGACTTGGTACAGGTTACAAACTGTAAGTTTAAAATCACAGCTTACTCTAACCCACCTAAAACCTAGCCAAACACTGTATTGTATAGCAATAAACCACATAAAGAACAGAACAAAACAGTAGAGAGTTTTGTAAGCTACTGCTCGTGATAGGCCGGTAGGCTACTTACAATACAGTTCTTATTTAAATCGCAACAGAGGAATGTCAATACTGTAATAATCATCAACTGTAGCATTGATGTTGCCTTAGTTTCAAAAAATCATATTTAAAATAATAAAAATATTAGATAAGTCGTTATAAAAGTGTATAAATATAGCTAACTTAAATATAATAAAAACACTTGTAAAAGGAATGTTAAGATAACAATGTTGATATTCTTTCTGTTTGCTTTGTTCTTCTATTCCTTTTCTTTCTTAGGTTTCTCTTCATCCAAAAGTTGTACAATTCACCATATTTACTTATCACCCAATCACATTTTACTAAAAATTACGTCGTCATCAGTCCTCAGTGAATGAAATCAGTTCTCAGCTGTAACAAAGCGCGCAGCTACGCTAGCAGACAGGGATGTGTAAAACGGAGCAGATGAATGTTAGCGCAATCATTGACGTCACCTTTCCATTTCATTTGATGAAGAAAATGATTTTGAAGAACAATAATGGTGGTGGGAGGGTTCGTTGTATCGAGGGAGAAACGTAGACAATTCGTTAAGTAGAGGCTAAATTCGCTATGTCTGTTCTGACAATGATAAATTCGTTATATTGAGGTGTCTTATTTTAGCTGGGATCATGAACAATTTGTTAAATCAAGGTCGTTGTTACAGTTTGTTCGTTATGTAGAGGTAAAATATACATTGTGTCTTATGGAGAGTTCTAGGGGATTAAAAAAAATTTGTTATATCAAGGAATTTGTTAAATCGAGGTTCGTTATATCAAGGTTAGCCAGGTTAGGTTATATGGTTGGTTATCAAGGTTAGGTTATATGGTTACTTATAACATATCCCTTCTTTAGAATAAAACTAAACAATATTTCTCTAGCACGGTTTTTCACCTCTCTATGTCTAAATAACCCACGTGTATCCTCGATAACATGTATTTTTGCAAAGATTTAGGTACCAAAAATAACTCTCTTAACAATACTCAGGTCTTCCCTGTAAGTCCAAAAAGGCTTAACTGAATCATCTAACTGATGTTTAAAACTAGACCATCCATTGTGAATATAATGACTCAACTTACCCAAAACTTGATTTTTTTAACTCCACAATTTGAGAATTAATAGCGACTCCTTATGTAACTTAAAGATAATTCTTTCTTAATTGCAAATAAAATTGGCCTTGAACGAATTTTGAGATTTGCTTGTTGCTTACAGCTGCAACTATGTAAATTTGCACCACAATTTGCTGGCTGCCAACAGCATGACGCACAAGAGTTGCTGACGTTCTTGCTTGATGGCCTTCATGAAGATCTGAACAGAATAAAAGACAAACCCTATTGTAGCACCGAGGAAAAAGACTTAGATGATGATGTGAGTACAAGTAAAAATAAGTAAAAGTAAGTACTTGCTGTTGGAAACGAATGAGTTGTGTTATATTTAACAAATGAAATAAAATTATGATGTTGATTGTTTGCCTGTTTAGTAAATAATTATTAATTATTTTTTAAATTTACCGACCAAACCATCCAAATTATTAAACACATCTTAACATAATTATTTGTTGGTTATTAATTATACATGACATTGAATTAAAAAACTTCCGGCTTTATTGAACTTTCTGTTTCACTTAGATAAAGCTCTTCCTAAGCTTGTATTGTTATGTAACGAATTGCAACAAATTTGAAAATAGCATAAATACATGCTTATGGTAATCTTTGAATTGTATTATTTATTTGCGGGTGCCTTCTTCAGGCTAAAAATGTTGCGTCTATCTTGAACACCAAAAAAAAGATTATATTCTCTTTTTAATAAATTTAAACACGTAGACATACACACTGCAACGCCTTTTAAAAGTCCAGAAGTAACGGTCTTCAGCATAAGATGACTACAATAGATGTAATGAATCCCCACTGAAACCAGTTGATAAGTGAAATTTCAATGTTAGCCACAAGCAGGTATACCTGTACACCATTTTCAATGTACAGTGGTAATCTAAAGTCTCCAATACCACCAAAAAAATTATACTTTTGTTCTTCTAGTCTCTGGCACGAGAGTCGTGGGAGTATTTTCAAAGGCGGAACGACTCAGTAATTATTGACAACTTCCACGGGATGCTCAAGTCTAGAGTCGTCTGCCCAGATTGTGAGAAGGTGTCAATCAAGTTTGACACATTTAGCACTCTGTCTCTCCCTTTGCCATTGCGGTGCGATAGAAAGATGTTGGTGAGTTATCACATCAATACTAGGATTTTTTGACTGATTTTATTGTATGGTTATTATTTGAAATATGGGCTTTCCCTTATGAAAAGTTAGTTAGTAAAATAGTTTCATCTTCTTATTCTCATAAATGTGTGTGGTTATTTTTAATTTATAGTTCTGGTCCATGGCTAAACATTTATTAAATTTTTAACTTTCATTTAATTTAAATCTTGAAGCTCTTTCCATGTTGCTCGATCCCCTTGGCTTTTAATCCATTGAAACAGATTGTAAGTGAGAAATCCCTACATGAAAATAAACTGTTTTGGAACATTTTTAACCTTTCTGAACATGTACTTTTAACCTTAGCAACAACAATGTCCGATAAACAAAAAGGTTGGATAGCATGGAGTATAAAAAGAGAAGCATTGTAAATATGTTGAAAACATTAAATTAATAAAACTCCTGCACTGGTAAATATATTCAAGGCTTAATGGTACGTCCACGATGCATGCTGGTATAAGCAGGAAGTCAGATTCAGATTTTTGGCGCCGAGTGTCTGACTCCGATGCGGTGGCCATAACGCAAGCAGGTTGTAAGCTATACCTGTCTGTGTTGAGACCTATTTAAGGGATACATACATATTTTCCTGCAACTTCTTGCAGACGACAACAGGTTTTTTTAAATATTTCAGAATGAGCTTGTACACTTTTTATCTAATCCTCGTAAAAATCTAGCACAAGCTCACCAAAAACTGGGGAAATTATCACAAAACCTTGAATTAGCTTGTCCGCTTGAGGTAAATAAATAAATCAGCAGGTAAATTTAAGGTACGATATTGCTATACAGTAGACCCCCTCTTAACCGACCCTAATGGAACCGGACCTAGGTCGGATGACTCAAAAGGTCGGTTAAAACGGGCAATCCCTGAAATCATAATATAATGAAGTGCTATTCATTTGGAATTATATAATCATTATTTTGAAGTAGGGATGGTCAAGTCTCGAAATTTCAGGAAATTTTCGGGAAATTTTAAATCTCGTTACACGAGACGAGATTTCTTTTTGGCCGAGATTTTTATCGAGACGAGAATAAAAAATATAAAAAAATTAAAAACGCCTGCAGAAAGTCAATGCAATACCCGCAATACAGGAGCGTGTTGTAGTTGCGTTTCCTTTGTGAAGGCGTTCTTATTTAATTAATTCTTTAAATGTAAATATTACTTTAATTATTTTAATAATATTACTTTAATAACATTTGAGAAGTTTTGTTAAGTGTAAGCAGTGTGAGGAATGTTTTATTACTATACAAAGTCAAAACAAGTAACTATTTTATAAAAATTAATATTGCTTTTATTTTATGATTTATTTTATTTTAGGATAAGTTGAACTCTATCCTAACTGATATCACTATGTTTCCTAATCGTAGGCATTTTTAATAAGTTAGGCGTGATTAATAAAAAAATGTTATGCTGATGTTTTTTAATAAAAGATTGTAAATATTCTTGCCTATTGTCATTATTTTTGTATTTAAACAGTCATCTAACAATGTTACAAAATCAGGTAAAAATTTTGAACGTGCATTTCCCGTTGTGTATGAGAAGGGAAATCCCGTCTCGATCTCGTCTCGAAATTTTATGAGAAATAAAAAATCTCGTCTCGTCTCGTCTCAAACTAAAAATCCAATCTCGTCCATCCCTATTTTGAAGCCATACTTGCATTATTTATAAAATAAACTACTCTTATCTCCTTTTTTGTATTGACAGAAAAGTCACAAATAAACACAAAACACGGTTAAGTCAAATAGGCCTACTTTCAGTGGAATATATTATAATACTAGGCAAGAGTCAATAAAAATTGATCAATAAAAATATTTCAATATCGTAACTTTAGTACTGTAATGTATTAATTGATACAGTAAAGAACCTTTTGTCGAAATTAAAGATGCAAGCAACCATTTTGTTACAAGACAGGATGTTTATAACCTCTCAATGGAGGCTCCAGGCACAAAAACTATCTTGACCTTGGAGTTGTAAACCCCCTTTCTCTGCCCTCCCTACAAGTTGTGTTGTTTCTGTTTGTTTATTCCAGTGATAAGATAATCAGGTAACGCACACTTTATGACGTTATAAATTTGCCGTACAGATAACAAATCAGATCAGATGTGCTCGCACTACGAATGATGATGACAAACTGACAATAGGCTATGCTATAATTTTTGCGATCAATATAAAATAATTTATTCTTAGTCATATCCTGTGGAGATAAGCGTATGGTTCAGTTCTCTTCGCCCAGCGTGGGAGCGGAAATGCCGAGATTCCTAGAAAGCGGCGGTTAAACCGAACTGCTCTCAAAGCAAGGTCGGTTAAAACAAACTGTATTATTTTACGATCGAAGGCGGATAATCCGATTATCGGTTAATACGAGGTCGGTTAAGAGGGGGCCTACTGTATATATATTTTTTTTAAATAATGCACTTTGATGCGCTTATTGCAATTTGCTTGAATGTGTAGACCTTTTGATAGCAGTTCGTCGATAACCATGGTTAATGTAATGAAACACTTAAAAATCAACAGCCCGATAGTCAGGTTTTCTGAAACCAGAATGAACAATTCATTCCGGTAAAAATCTGAGTCAGGTGCACTATGGCCGCTTATGTTTACTAGCATGGGACAATAAGCGTGACAAGTCTGACTAAATTGGCGCCGACAGTCTGATTTAGAAAACCAGCGTGCATTGTGGACGTACCCAAAGGCTTATTTTTTATTGAAACTGCCATGTGTCTGCTTTGAAGCTACTGTTTTGTGGTAAAATGGTATTTTAAAAACCCGCCGAAATTTGTGAGTGGACTGTATAAAAATTAATTAAATTGTAAAATATTTGCGAAAAATTGGAGCACTTGGTGTCTTAGCAAATGAGATATGATGAATTATTTTAAGACATTATATTAACTGTTTTATGATATATTCACTAACCATGAGTTGTGGAGAAGGGAAGCCTAGATGACGACAACATGGCCGATACCCACGCCATGAACTGGATAAGCTGTTGGGGAAGACGATGGAGGTACACTGTCCAGACGTGTGATGGGAAGAGAAGAGAATGTCCAATATAAACACTTTTCTTGATGTCGAAACGACGGGTTAGTTTATATGAGCTCAAGAAAATGTTATTGTAGGCAATGTTCACACGCGTTCACGGAAGCCGCACAAGAAGTTCACGTTGAATGGGAGCTATCACTTTTCAGGGAGTTAATACACAGTTAAAAAATACAATTTAAAACATACAATTATGTGTAACACGAAATAGAGAATATGGGGGCCTAAGGCTACAATTACACTGTTAATAGAGAACTGTCCCAAGTTAAATGAGCAAAAAATAGAGACTTGATGAACCGGAGTGTTACATCAAGGAGCTTTTCCGAAAGACTGACGCTTGTGGGCATCGGGAATGGACGCGTCCAGTGGTCACATGACCGTCTCGACCAATAAATTTATTGCTGTATTTTAGTTCACCAATGAGGGAATACTTAGACCCCTCTAAGCAAGTAATGTTATAGAATAACGGGACCTCTCTCTATCTCTGTGGAAGGGATAACAATAGAAAATCGAGATAAAGCAGTGCTGAGTTGCCTGACAAATAATATTACATCAAATATTTATACGAAATACTGAACAGCTACCTTCACAAATACATATGAAAATTAAAATAAGCAATAAAGTAAAGTCACAACTATAACATGAAATACAAGATAAAGCGTTACTTATCACTCAGTCATGGGTCTCTGTTCGCACTACGACTAAGACGTGAGGAGTAGTAGAGATGTATGGAAATAAGGGATGGTCGGGTCTCGAAATTCCTGGAAATTTTCAGGAAATTTTAAACCTTGTTCTACGCAACAAGAACGTGCATTTCCTGTAAGGTGTGAGAAGGAAAATCCCGTCTCGATCTCGTCTCAAAATTTTATGAGAAATAAAAAATCCCATCTCGTCTTATCTCAAACTAAAAATCCAATCTCGTCCATCTCTAATGGAAATATAAAGAATTTATTAACTATGTGGTATGCAACAAGCAAAAAAAATCTAGAAGTACAGTGAATTTAAAAGGTGCCTTAAGCCTGGCTTGTATATTATGAGAAAAGACACGGGTTGTCTCGACGGTTTACAGTCATATAAGAGTGAAACAGCTCGCGATTTCATGGCAAGCAACCATCCGCAGAGAGGGTTCAGATTACCTAAGATTTGAGAATAGAGACAGTAAGCAATGTTTATAAATTTTGAAGAAAATGATTTGGCTTAGCAATACATTAAAGAAGAAGGAATGGATACACAACTAACTTACCCAAGAAAAGAGTTCCAGGCAGTTGAAAGCATACAAAAGTTCACAACACAATTAATTTGATATTTCGCCCCTACAAGGAGGTATCAAATCAAAAGTAGGTAGGTAGGGCCCCTACTTTAGAAGGAAGTATAGGTGAACCCCGGAACTGTTTTCTTAGGTAAATTTTAGCTTGTTTTAATGATAATTCATAATTTTGTATTAATATAATAGGTTTTTTTTCATACTCACTTTGGTCTAAATATAGTACTAATGCACTGTGATCATTATTTGCAGGTGCGCTATGTACCTTATGATCAATCGCTTAGTGTGAGGGATGTGATGTTTGTTGTACCTAAGAAAGGAACTGTTCGAGACGTGGCAAACGAACTGAGCAAGATCACCAATATAAGACCCGAACTAATGGTAATTGCGGAAGTAAGCAAATGCCACTTTCATAAATTCTTTGCCATGGATGACCCCGTTGAATCAATCGATGACAGAGAAAAGATATTTATGTAAGTATTCTCAGTTACCAGATATGCAGCTCAAATTGATAAGTGTTTCATGATTTACGATAACTAAATGAGGAGGTGCAATCATTACTATCAAATAATAAATCAAGAAAGTTTCTCAAAATGAAATCTTTGATAAGTGTGCTACTTTCCCTCCATTGGCTTGTATAGGCTTCAAGTACAGAATGGCCCATTTCAAGTGGCTGGTTAGGATTTTTTAAGCAATAGGAGCTTAGCTAGAAAATTATGTACGTTTCTGAGAAAATTTGATTCAAGGGGCTAACATATAAACAATAAAAGTTCATTATATATAAAACTGATATTTTGTACTAATATAGGACTCCTTGATAGACTTGACTGAAGAGAAATCTAATCCTGAATGAAATAGTAGACAACCAATTTTTTCCTCCATAAAAACATAAAATTTCTTTCCAAACCATTTTGTTGAGCTTATAAAAACAAATAATTTAGTACATTTAATGTTATGTTTTTAGGAAAAAGCATTTAGCTTGGATTAAATAAATTTATAGGATGGAGAGGACACAGCTAACTCACCTGATGAAAGGTTGCAGACGAGTCAAAGAACACATAAAACACACACATAACAATCAACACACATAATAATATCAAGTATTATTATGTGTGTGTTTTATATGTTCTTTGACTTGTCTGCAACCTTTCATCAGGTGAGTTTTTAGCTGGGTCCTCTCCATCCTATATATTTATTTAGTACATTTAAGTGTTGTTCTGTGCTTAATGGTTAAGAAGAAAATTACAAAAAAACTGTAAATTTAAAATTCATATGTTGTGTACTTGACATGAGTACTACCGTACTTACAGATTTTTCCTTAAAGGTACAATCTTCCAGAACATCTTGGCCAAGGTGTGGACACTAAATTAACAGTCTTGCCTATCGTCTTATGGGAAGTTCATGACAACAGGAACGTGCACTTCCTCAATAGTCTGTTTGGAACACCGTTCCTGATCAGGCTTCCGCCAGGTGTTATGTCCTACAAGACACTTTACGATCTCATCTGCGGACAACTGATTCGATCATTTGGCGGCTACTTAAAATCAAATGTTAACAACAGCTTATCCATGGATATTGAAACATGTATGTTTGGAATAATTTATTAAGTAGAGTGCTAAATCCCCCTGTATAACTAAACAAATGAAAAGTCCTGTTCTGTTATATGGTTTAGCAAATTTATTAGGGAATTTATATCTCAATAATGTAAAAGTTATCTTTTGTTTTGTTTAGTGTACTGAAGTGACCTTAAGCTTCCATCTTCTACAGTTAACTGTACAATCCATGCGTCCAATTAAGACTTATTACAAGTGTAAAAAAAATAATAACATTTGGAATAAACAACCTTTTTAGAATTGTTTATGAACCTCTGGTATGATTACAGACCAAATTAGCACCTTCCACAATCACAGATTTTTCTACTAACAAACAGGATGAACAAAGCCTAATTAATGAGGCCAACCAACTTACAACTTACAGATTAGGGCATTTACCGTATTGGTTTCTCTTTCTCAACCTCAAGATATTAGTGTTTTTTCCTAGCTGTAAAGTTGAGCTTGAAACTTTCTTTACTTGGTGTGTTAGGATTTAATAGGCCTAGTGAATTTTCAAATTACCTCAATGTAACAAACTTCAACAAAGAACAAAATACTTGATATAAAAAATGCTTGCTTTGGTCCCTACAAATTAATATAGTTATTTGTTTTAAGGGCTACATAGGTTCATTTAGTTGATTCAATTAACGTTCACTATGTTGGACGTCGGCCTTTATAGAATTTATCCTTTTCAATATAACCTTGAACATTTGGTAATGGTCTAAATGATTAATTATATAAGTAGGCCCTAACTTAAATATGATCTTTGATCTCCAATGTTAAGGTGGATGCCATATATATTTTTTTTTTCATTTGTTACAAATAGCAGCATTCAAACGATTCATAAACTTTCAAAATTTAAATTTTGTTGTGTTTCTAACTTGCTTAATAAAGTAATTCTTGGATATTATTTTATTCTAATTTAAACTGTTTGTAGCTGTGAGGGATCGAGAAGAAAGGAACAGCAAACTTTTTTCACCAGTTCTAGTAAACACGTACTGTTATGACAATGTGAAGAAAATTGCAGATAGTGAAAATGATGTCTTTGAAGTTCCAGGTAAGGCTAGTTAGTTCTTTAAAATAGGATTTGCCACCCTGTGGTCTGCAGAGGTCACATTGGTGCTAAGTAGAGAGTTGATTACCCGAAGCAATTAGGTATTTGGGTTGTTCAAATAACTGATTTTTTGTATATTTGGCCAATGATGGGGAATATTAGGTGTTATTTATCCTTGATTCATAACATCGAAGTAAATTTTTATGTGTATTTATTACTGGTCTTTCACCATGAAAATGGTTTTCCACACAAATTGTTTGATGGCTTTATGGTTCTTTTTGTCAGATATCAAAACATTTCCAACTCCATATTCCCGAGCTAAACTAGATTCATTTTCACCTTTTGAATTGCTTCGATATCTTAAAAGTTTTTTCAGAAACACTAAGCACAACGAGTTTATGTTTCAAAAACGTTGTTAATCATAATTTAAAAAAAAAAAACCCAAATAGTGTTCAACAGACACAGGGAACAGAGTGGAAATGGCACGCACAGGTATAACCAGACGAGAATATTTCGACAAAGGCAACACCTGGGCAGCAGTCGCTCGCCGAACTGGTGATGGGAGGGAGATTTAAGCTAGATACTTTTTTCATTTCCTCCATTCAGTTAACCGATGTTTTGGATGACCATGCTTTGAATAATCAGTGCTCTACTGTACTTACAAATATTACTGTATGTCAGGATTGTTTGGGCTGGTGTGTTAGTGTCAGTTCATGGCCCATTGGCAAGCATGTATTTTCACACATTGTAAATATACGAGGGCAGTTCTGAAAATAACCTCAGCTTGCTTCTTGCGTGGGAAGTTGAGGGGATAGTGCCACCATTCTTGCGCCTGTGCGTGTCGCAGGTCACTCTACATCCAACTGTGGTACCGTAGTGTAAAGGTCATTTGAGCGCTAGTTTTAATGAGTGAAGAAGTAGTTCGGGAATGAGTTAGCTTGTTTAAAAATGGCCGAACGAACGTGCATGATAAAAGAAGTGGCAGGCCATCTGTGGTCAGTGATGAACTGGTTGAGAAAATCAACGCAAAGATTCGTGACAGTGGACGCATACAATTTGTGCTTGGTGGGTCCCAAAAATCCTTTCGTAAAAGCACAAGACTCAACGAATAACCTCAGCTCTGGACTCGATACGACAAGGAAGGAGATATTTTTTAGAAACAAATTGTGACTGGCGATGAAACCTGGGTCAAATACGTGAATCCTGAGACTAAAGAACAGTCTAAGTTGTGGGGTCATACGGCATCGCCCCATAAACCAACAAAAGCCCGCAAGATTTTTCCAAAAAAAGCTCATGGCAACTGTGTTTTGGGATTCCAAAGGTTATGGAATGTGGTGGAACAATCAATGTGTATTCGTACGTTGAAACTCTGAAGAACCTAAGTTAGTCTATAGATATAATAAGTTTTTAAGTGTCCAAGGAAACTGTGTTGAAAAGTAGAAGAAAGGCATAGTTTTAAGATGCATTCAATAAAAATCTTGTTTCTACTTCTGTGATTGATTTATAGAAAAACGGAGGTTACTTTCCGAACCACTCTCGTACTCAACAAGACATTAGTGCAAAAAGGAAATTATTTTGTTATATCAACAAAGTAAAAACTTAAGTTGCATTTGAATTAATAGCACTCAAGTAATATGAATTAAACTAAAACTCTTGCTCCTGGTGCCCAGTACTTCACTTAGCTATTCAAATTGTGATAATATAACTTTCTCGGGGAAGGACCAACTTTAATAAATAACAAATATATTCCATCCATAATTACTGCCACAAGACTCTGTGGTAGGTAAAATATTTAGTCTTGAAAATTGTAAAAAGGCTGGGAAACACTGTATTATACATTTAACTTTGCATTGCTTACGAACAATACCTGCCTTGGAGGTAATTAGTTTAAGTTACATCCATACTGCCATGGATTTTGGTAGAACATTTGTCTGGAAATGTGCATCACATTCAGTTTTAGATAGTTTCGGTTATTGAACAAGACTAGTGTTGAGTTTTGTCAGGGTGCGTAGGTAGCTGCTGCGGTGTAACCAACAAGGTGAATCTAAGTGCACAGTAAACTTTTCTGTATGACCAATGGATCTTCTGTGAAAAGTGTGTTAAGTTCAAAATTGTTATTTCTAAAAACTTGTTGATTTTGTGATTCACTAACGTTTTATTTACTGTACTTTCAAACTACAAATAATTTTGTAATTTGTATTTTTTTCTGATGCTGTTTAGTGCTTGGGATAAAGGTTTTGGTTACAAACTGGCATAAATTAAAGCTTTTCAGCTTCAGAGATTATTAGTTACCTAGGTTGATTATAATGTTAGTGAGGAGGAAGAATTGGCATAAATATAACTGGTATATAATTGGTATAAATATAACACACAGTAAGTGATGTGCAAATTTAATGGTGCAGCCAACAAGTAGGCTTGGCAAAATTTTTTATTAGGCCTAATGCTAGGATATTAGTAACCATATAAGTCAAATAAAAAAATTTTCTATAGGTATACTTAAAATTAAATAGTTAAATGAAAACAGCCATTAACACCAACCTAACTTATTTAGGCCTAGGCCCACTTTACTCACAACTACTCAACTCGATTCTAGATTTTTACTCAAATACCATTTTATTGAAAAAAATGCCTTTTAAAGCAATTAAAATTAGGGGAAATTTAATTAAAAAATTTATATTTTATTCTACATCTTAACATATATTGTATTTTTAAAAAAGGTTTAGGCTTGATTAACTTATTATTTTTGTAATTACGTTTATTTATAGTATAAAAAAAGCTCGGCTCGATAAAAGCTTGAGGGTCGGCTCGACAAAAGCTTGAGGCTCGGCTCGATTGAAAATCTCAGCCTCGCATACCTCCAAATATATTTATATTTATTAAAGTATTTACAACAGCTTGGCCTCGCCCAGTATGAAAAAACTCCAAGGTCCAATTGATGCATAGAAGATTTATTATTTTTCTTGTTACATAATAACTGGATTGTTATCGTTTTCTTTCTGCAGCTAGTCCATATAGATATGAGTCTATGCCAGTACTTATCCTAAAGTCAGTGGTATACGAAACAAATCTTTAATATTGAACCAATTGCTTTGTACAGAAAGTTTTGGCCGTGAGCTGTTGGCTCTCCAAGTTTCCCGGCAGACGAAGCAAGAGTTCTTCCATGAATCACCAGTTGTAATTGAGGATCACACCAACGGACTCAGACCTTCGCCCAAGCCAACATTAGAGGACTGCCTCACTCTCTTCACTACCACAGAGAAACTTGGCGAGAACAATGCATGGTACGGCTCAATACTTGTCAAAAATAATTTTATTTTGAAATCATTTAAAAATTGAAAATGATAAATTTTTATTACTGCATACTAAATTCAAGTAACAATTCAAACTCAGCGTGTTAGTTTATGTCAGCAGCTTAACTTACACAATTGCAGCAAATGTCTGTTTGGCCGAGAGGTTTAGTGGTCGTTTTCAAATCTGAAGGTTGCTGGTTCGATTCCAAGCAGATTTTTCCTAGACTCAAATGCCATTTGTAATCAGACTATCAATAAATAAGGCTATCCAAGAAAAAGTTCAACGTTGGATGGTAACAAAAACAGAATTTGGACTGTTCCCTTACAAAAAATTCCTAGATGTCTTAAAATAAAAAAATAAAAGTTGTCCTAAACCTATTGTTCAATAATGGCATGGCCAAACTTGAGGATCACCTTAGTTTCGTCACTGCCCGCCGACTGGTGAGCAAAGCAACCATGGAGAAAATTGTGTAGAAGGTTAATGATGTTACATAGAGTACAAAGGCCTAGGTTTTTAGAGTTTTTGTGAGGATAGCAGGCTTACCTGAATGGGAAAGAGTCCAAACTGGTACAAGAAACACCAAACATTAAGAGTATTTCACTGTCAGGACAGCATTTTCAACTAAGGAAGAGAGAGTTTTCTTTAGTCTATTATTTAGATACTAAATTATCTTAGACGAAAACTGAAGAAATATCTCTCTTCCTTAGTTGAAAATGCTGTCATTGACAGTGAAATATTCTAATGTTTTGTGTCTCTTGTGTCAGTTTAAACTCTTTCTGAATCGGGTAAGCCTGCTATATCCTCACAAAAAAATCCTAAAAATATGTTGAGTAGTACCGCCTTGCCAATTTTCACGCTCATATTGTTTCATTCTTGAGATACAATTTTATCCAAGAGTGAATGATACAGTCTAACCTTCATATAACGAACCTCAATATAACAAATTCCTTAATATAACGACATATTTTAAATCCCCTAGAACTGTCCATAAGAAACAATTCTTTCTTTTTTTTCTTTCTTGGATGTATATTTTACCTCTACATAACGAACAAACCATATAACTACCTTGGTTTAACAAATTTTTCATGATCCCGGCTAAAATAAGACACCCGCAATATTTATCATTGTCCGAATTTATCATTGTCAGAACTTCTACATAGCGAATTTAACCTCTAGGCCTACTTAATGAATTGTCTGCGTCGTTCCCTTGATATAATGAACCTCCCCGCCACATTATTCTTTTTGAAAAATCAGTTTCTTCATCAAATGAAATGGAAAGGTGACGTCAAGGCTTGCGTTAACATTTATTCCTCTGCTCCGTTTTACACAACTCTCTGTCTTCTGTCGCTGTGCGCTATGTCACAACTGGTTTCATTCACTGAGAACTGATGACGACGTAATGTTTAGTAAACTGTGATTGTTTGATAAGTGACTAGTAGAATTTTTGGATGAAGAAAACCCTAAGAAAGAATAGAAGAATAAAAGCAAAAATTAAGAATAGCAACATTATTATCTTAACCTGCCTTTTTATTACTTGTTATGTACTAATTATTACTGTTACAAGTGTTTTATTATCTTTAAGTTGGCTATGATCATACACTTTTATGATGACTTATCTTATATTTCTATTGTTTTCAATAAGATTTGTTTGAACTAAGGCAACACCAATGCTATAGTTGAAGTTGATGATTATTATTGACATTCCTCTGTTGTGATAAAGCAGTACTGTAGCCTATCGTCCAACCACGAGCAGTAGCTTACCAAACTCTTCTGTTTTGTTCTGTTCTTTACAAGGTTTATTGCTATACAGTACAGTGTTTGGCTAGGTTTTAGGTGGTTTAGAGTTAGCTGTGATTTTAAACTTACAGTTTGTTACCTGAACCAAGGTCAATGACTAGAAATGTCATGGTTGCACAATATATGATTGCGTAATATTGTATTTTGTTGATAAAAATTGTGACATTAATGGACATTTTTATTTACAAAGTACCGGTATTACAGTGTTTCATAGGTTTTTCATCTTTTTTATACAATGGTTTTTTTTTACTGTGGTTTTACTATCACTGTAGTCTCCCTTCCCCTTCATTACCCCGTATAATCCAGGTTCTACTTTACAATGTAAACACTGTACTGTAAAGTATTGTAGCCTATGCTACTTGTGTTTTAATGAGGTCAAATCTCAACCTATATTGACAGATGCTGCTTCTAAACCTCGACGTAGTGAAATTCCTGCAAACCTAACCTCAATGTAACGAACCTTGTTTTAACAAAATCCTTGCTATAGTGAATATTCTGTTCGGACCCTTAAGATTCGTTATACCAAGGTTGGACTGTAATCTTTTATGTATAAAAATAAAATTGATTTTGTTCTTCAAAAATTGCAGGCACTGTCCCAGATGCAACATGAAAAAGAGGGCAACAAAGAAACTTGATCTGTGGAAGTTGCCCAACATTCTGATCTTCCACCTGAAAAGATTTGCTTTTAATGAAACCCGAAAAGAAAAGCTTGATACCAAAGTAGAGTTTCCTCTAACGGGACTCAATATAGACCATTATGTGGTCAATAAACATAAAGAAAACCTGATTTACGATCTGATTGGAGTTTGTAACCACTACGAATTCCTCATGTCAGGACACTGTAAGTATTTACAGCTCTTTACTTGTTTAGCGATAATTTATACATCAAGGTTCATTTATCTTGGGTTTTCCTATTTTATGACTAATTAATAACATTTCTTAACTATTTGTAAGTCTACAATGTTTACTTTAGTTTAAAATATCAAATGAGCAAGTAACTTATTTTACATTAATTATTTCATTGTTAATTATTTCAAATCATATGAATACACATCTTAATAAAAGTTAATAACTAGTGATTCCAGAAATTTTAGATTCCGATTTTGATTCTTTGAAATCGGATTCCATTATGTTAAAAAAAATTCCTATGGTTGTGTCTGACATCGTCATTGTTTCCCGTGGTCGTGGCAAAATTCTGATCATTTCCTGCGGCCGTGTAATCATAGTCATTGTCCCACGGTGACGGCAAAAATCCTGAAAATCTCCCACGGTAACAGAAACATCAGCAACAAATTCCCACAATCGCATCAATATTTTGTTCATTTCAGGCGGTTGTGTAGACATCGTTATTGTCTCCCTCCGTAACGGCAAACCCCTGAATAACCCCCAAGGTGATGGAACATCAAATTCAAAAATTCAAATTCAAATAATCTTTATTTGTAAGTGGCAAATAACATACATAAATAGTGTCAAAATACAGGTATGAAAAAGTATGATCATCATTATCGTCCTCCATGATCACGGAAAAATCATGAACATTTCTCGCAGTCATGTAGACATTATCGTCGTCTTCCCCAATCGCAGCTGCATTCTGACAGTCTCCAGCAGCCATGTAGACATCATCACCGTTTCCTACGGTCACAGAATCATCATATTTGTCTCAAGCGATTGCGGCATCAGCAGTAATTTTTCCGATCGCGCGGATCTTCGCAGACGAGTCGAGCGAATTCTAGCCATCGGTTCTCGATTCCGATTCCAAAGCCGAGAATTGGTGGAATCGAGAATCCCATCCCTACTAAAAAGCTTATCAGGAATTTATGGTCAAAGATTATAGAAATTTTGTTTGGTGCTACTTAAAATCAGTTAGACGTTTTAGTCTAGACTAGAATGAGAATGCTCTCTTAGTTAAATATGATTGTAATTAACGATTTAAAACTAATAAGATAAATAATGTGGGCATTTTCTTGAACTTGTTTTCCTTTTTTATTCAATCTGTCTAAAATCCAAATTCATGCCCCTTGGTTTTTTCTATTATTCAAAAGGCTTGGTTATAAAACTCCTAATCTACCTCGGGTTATCTGCCTCTTTACTTAGTCTAATCTTGTCTACACAGAGTTTTTGTAACTTTCTGTTGAGTGTGTTATTTGTTTTATTGTATCTTGAGCATACTGTGACTAATTAAACATCACGTAACTATTAAAATAAATTTTTGTATGATTATTTTAGAATAACAATAGTCAACAAGATTAAAACAAAACAAGCTTTGTTATCAGCAATATTTTTGTAATCAATAAAAGAATAAGGTTATCTTGTTGTTTTATTACTCGTTTATTAAGTTTACATCTTTGATAAGTTTCCACTATTCTTTGCATAATCAAGCACCTTTTATGTTTTAATCTCTTTTGTCTAGATACAGCCAACTGTAAGAGCTTCAGGGATGGAAAGTGGTATTGCTTTAATGACAACTCGGTGACACCCATCTCAGCATCGTCCGTACAGGTACAAGTTTGATAATTTAGTTATTTATTTATTACTTGTATTAATACATTCATAAAGCCACTATAATAAGTTTAAAAATCTATCAAAGATACAAAGTATTAGTGCCAAGCAAGAAAAACAATAAACGATTATAAACATGTAAAATAAATTTATTTCCTGATGTTGAAAAAACATCCATCATTCACAGAGCAACATCCAAGGCATTCAATTATTAAATACCCTGCATCACTCTCAGATGAGCCAATTATCCTGGAAAAGCATGAAGACAGCTGTCATTAACTGTGCTCTAGGGTTAGGCACTCCGTTCCCAATTATACTAAAAACAATTATACAACAATTGGGAAACGGGCCACGGGAAATTGGTTTAGGGGCTATGTCCCCGAGGGTATACCCGATCATCCAGTTTCTGACCGGTCACGGGTTTTCCCGGTCATACCTGCTCAGTATGGGCAAAGCCGTGACGCCCGGTTGCATCCACTGCCCAGGCACTCCCTACGACACGGAACACACTCTCTTCCACTGCCTGTGTTGAAAAAGTCCAGCCTGCAGGCCCGACAACATGTAAGACTGTTTTCGGTGGACACGGTCATTCCGATGACCGAGGTTGAGGACAATTATTTGACTTGTGACTCTCGTTCGTCCAGGGTATTTTCTACACTTAGAAGCTCGACCTTGATGGGGAAGCGATCTAGGTGATAAAGGAATTGAATGCCTGAAACGCCACGAGCCCTGAAGGCTTAGGTTACTCTTTGAGCTGACCTGAAGTAGAAAAATGTGTAGGAGTAGAAATGTGCATAAGAGGCACATTGGAAGTTCACAGAAGGAGGTACACATTTTCCCGAGACACACAGTGTGTTTATCAGTTTCCATTAGACAGTACTTAGATTTGAGGAAACCCAGCTCGCTGATCGGTGTGTTTCAGACTACCAGGGTTTACCGATGACCTTGACAGTCATAGAGACGTTCCCTATCAGTATGGCAGTATGTTTTCGGTCTAGCTCCCCCCACCATCTACTGGCAGTAGCCGACGCAGCCCATACACTCACCATTGTAAAACAAGCCTTTTTAAGTTGCTGCTCTGTTGAAATATGTAGATATAAAATATTGCAAATGCATGCCAAACTCTTTTTACTAGTCTAAACTTTATGTCTTCTTTTTTTCTTGCATAAAATAACACATTTGAACTCTTAAAAACCCGAATACATTTAATTAGTTTTTACCGCAGATTTATGCTTGAAATTAACGTGATAGGCCTTCTTTTTTCTTTCTTTTTTGTGACCTATTTTGTAAGATACATCGTCATTAAACATTGAAAAAAGTATCGTGTTTAGGTCAAACATTACGAACATAACGGTACGTCTGGAGCAAACTAATTAATTAGCAAACTTAAAAAAAACTTTGCAAAATTATTCTAAATGTTTATGTACTACTTTTTCGTTTAATAAAATAGAATTTCAATTTAAAATATTGAACTTTCTATTTCTCCTTGGAATATTATTATTATCTTATTATGTTACCATGAACAATTAATTTGGAACTAGCAATATCAGTTTTCTAAAAACATCTACAAATCGGGTTTAGTGAATTTGTAGTTTTAAAGAATTCAGATGGGCTATTTTCTGCAAGAAACAAAACAGATATAAAGGTTTAAATAGTAAAAAGAGTTTGACAAGCGTTAGCAATATTTTATCCCTATATATTTCAACAGAGCAGCAACTAGAAATGTGTTTTTTTAATTGTGAGTGTATTGTGTATTGAGCGTCGGCTTCTGCCAGTAGATGGTGGGGGAAGCTAGACCGCGCGGCCAACACTGAGCCAGCGATCCATGAGTTGTTTATATCGTTGGCTATGAACATCCACTGTGGTTGATACTTGATACCTTAAATGACAGGAATCTAATCGTAGAACACGACTCATACTTAGCATTGAAATTCCTCCTCATCGTTTTTGGCTACTTTAACAAGACTAATCGCCGCATCGGGGTAGGATCTGACTAGACTCGTGGTGGATGAAGTGAAGAACATGGTGCTGGCCTAGATTTCAACTAGCTTGCTTGGTCACGACGGGAGCTCAGTGGGGGCTTAATTTATAGACAGCCCTCATATTAGTACATCCTACCCCAATGATAGTTTTAACATGAATGTTATGGTTGTACAATTTCCAAAGAAGGAATGCTTCTGAGACCTCGCCAAAGGGGATGACATTTGGATTGTAGAAACCACTTTTCTTAAAGGTAGCACTGACAGAACTTTTTAGATGTCACTGCTATTTTACTGTTACTAATGCTTTTCACATGGTTTTAAAAACGCTACCTTTTTTGTTTTTTTTTTAGTTTCATTGTATTTTTCAGTCTCAATTTGGCTCTTTGTCAGTCTTTAGGATTGTTTGTTCTTCGATCATATTTTTTTCAGTGTGTTAAATCTTGTAATTAGTTGTTAATAATTAAGTTGTCGTTTGTTTTATATTAAATCTGCTTCCTCCTCCTCCTCCTCGTCCTCCTCCTCCCCCTCCTCCTCCTCGCTCTCCTCCTCCTCATCCTCCTTGCTCTCATCCTCCTCCTCCTCCTCCCCCTCCTCCTCCCCCTCCTTGCTCTCCTCCTCCTCCTCCCCCTCCTCCTCCTCCTCCTCCCCCTCCTCCTCCTCCTCCTCCCCCTCCTCCTCCTCGTATTATTGTATGTTGAGCTAGACTTATACGTGTTGTTTTTCAGTCGGAAAGCGCTTATGTCCTGTTTTACCAACGAAGACAAGGTACAGTGGCAGCATCTGACGGGGACAAAGTGGACATGTAGATATCTTCAGCCTCACGTGTGGACTGTGTACAGATCTTGTGATATAGCTAAGCGACTGTAATTTAACGTGTAATTTACCATAGCAGAAACGATCTCTCCTCGCTGAATATTTATTTGTGTTAAGAAGCAAGAGACTATTATTCAAATTAATCTCGTGGTTTGTATCAGAAAATATCTTATAAGTACAATGAACTCACAATTTGACTTTTGATGACATGCTAGACACTGATTTTTAATTGTGAAGTGGTTCGTTGTATTGACCACTCGTGTTCCTAAATTTCAATAGAGTCAAATTCATTGTGCTATTTTTTAATCAATGAATATCCAACGTGAGTTGTATCATTTTTTCACCTGTGCTGTTTGATGAACATCCTTCAGAGCTTAGTTTATAAAAATTACGATTAATGGTATTTCACTTTGGTAAAACATTTGCAATGTTCATTTTGACATTATTATGTTTTAACTAAGCAATTTCTGTTTTCTGACTTGGGTTAAGCAAGTTTTTTATGAATAATTTTATGGCTAATAAACCAAAATTTCTCCCTAAATGACCACATTCTCGCTCTTGTGATATTTTGTAGTTATAAGGCATAAGTATTAGATTTATTTTTTAATTGTTTTTTGTTAAACTAATTGTTGAGCAAAGTATGCTATTATTTTGGGGTTGTACGATTTAACAGAAACTGTTTCTCATTTCTGTTGGTTCAAAACAAATACAAATGCAATACTGTACTACTTACCCGTCAATGAACAAAGCACCTTTCTCATTTTTACCATTATTAGTTTACACTGATTCTTCAAACTCATAATCATATTGTGGACTGTATGTCATCACTTAATCATAATTTAACATTTCCATTATATTTCATTCTACTGATGGTTGTATAAGAATTAACCTGATTATGCTTAATGAAAGGAATGTTGTTACTTCACACAGAATTATATTATGCCATTTTCAACTTTTGTGTTTTATATTTTTTAGCTTCCCTGACCTTATAACTGATTTTAGTCCCTTTACAGCATAAAGGGTTGTCTGGTAAAGTTATGTGAGGAACTTAATATTTGTAGATTCAGCCTTGAAGATACCCTAAGTTAATAGTGATAAAAAATGTGAAGAGAATATATAAATCTGCTACTTGTTTTGACATTATTAATGAGAAAATATGCATAGTTGCTTTCTACCCTGATCATAATTTATCCTCAGTACTATACCTGGAGAATATAAATTTATTTGTGTAAAGTTATTAATTGGGCGCTAAACGGAAACTGATACTTTGCAGTTTTTTAACCAAATTTTGTTAGGCAAGTTAGATCCAAGAGTAGCAATCTCCTAGCAAACTTTTGGCGCCGTACAATAATATTTAGAGAATATGTACTCCACAATTTTATTGGTACCGTAGGTCTCATGGTAAGACCTGGACCCGCAGCCGATTTACTTTTTGTTTCCGTTCAAATTCATATATATATATATATTCATATATATATATATTCATATATATATATATATTCATATATATATATATGTGTGTGTGTGTGTGTGTGTGTCCGTTAGAACGATAACTTGAACAAAAATTATCCGATTTTGATGAAATTTGGTACTAATGTGTAAACCTACATTTAATCGAATGAGTTTGCGAACCAGCATGATCGGAACAAGGTTTATGGGGGAATTTGTGGGGTAAAAACTGCTTTTTCTCATTTTTGACCCTCAAAACATAACATTTCTCAATTTCTCTTTGGATCATTTTGATAAGTTAAAAAACAAATAATTTAGTATAATAGGGTCCGCGGAATTGGCTAACTCTGGAACTCGCTAACCCCATGTTAAATGCCCTATCTTCAAATTTGGTCGATGAGAGGAACTCGCTAACTTGTTCGGTTTCGGAATTGGCTAACTCCGGAACCCGCTAACCCGCTCTAGAGCCGGGTTAGCGAATTCCGTCCTCGTACGGAAGTCGCTAACTCGGTCCCTCGGCGGAACTCGCTAACTCCCAATCAGAAGCCTCGCGGGCCGTCCAATGGGAGCCAAGCACGAATATTTTTGGCCAGTGTTGCCGAAAGTGTAGTACCTATATCGTATCGGCACCATAATGTCGTATCCTACGCTTAATTAGGAGTAAGAGCAACGTAGTCGATAAAATAAATATATTTTGAAGTATGTTTAACCACAGAGAAGTTCTTATGATTATTAGGGTGGAAAATGCATTATAGTCTTACCATAGACTAACCAACACAAGTAAACTTTACATCCCATTGTAAACTTTGAAGCTCGTTTTTCGTGTCTAGTTCATGTCCGGTGACACTGATCGCTAGTGTCGACAAAATTGTGTTTCTATTATTTTATAGTTAACTTCATGATTTGTTCCTTACTGTTTGGTTATATAACTAGGGGACGGGTTATTAGTTGTGATTAGAACGTTTTATTTGGTTAAACGAGGTTTTAAATTACTGAAAACAAGAAACAATTGTAAACAAAACACGACCTCTAAAGACAGTACACCGGACAGAACTAACAATACAACTGTCTTCAGATCATCCATAAGGATGAGAAATGTACTAATATAAGGGAGTATGTTTTATATGTGGGTTTCTTACTTAAATAGTAGCTTATTGGTATGAAAAAGATAAAAATGCACATTTAATTTGGATCTATTACATGTTATGAAATGTCTATTTTCGTAGTCCGCCATTTGTTTCTTTTATTAGAATAAATACCATTTTGTGAACTTCTGCAAATAAAATTTTTGAGTTCGTATTTTATATACTGGGCTTGTAGTAGCCTTAAATCATAAATCATAATAAAATTTACACATTAAACGTCATTACAGAATTACATTGTAGTGGTTATGTATTTTTAAATAGAGCTATTGAATTTAAATAAATATTTATCAATACATTATAAAGTGGTAGGCCTAATGTATTCATGGATTGCATTAAAAGTTAGTCTATGCATAAATACAACTTGTAAATTTCTTTTATCGTAGGCTATTAGTGTAGAACCCGGGTCATCCTCTTAATTTTGTTGAATTAATATTAATTTTACGTCTTTCAGTAGGCCTACTTTTTAAAAGTCTGGAGTTTTTTTCCAGGCTGATTCTATCTTATCCAAAAACAAAGCTATTGTCTATTGTGTAGCTTAGTACTGGGGAACGGTGAACCGAGCAATGGCTTGGTATAGTTTATATCGTTTGTGAAAGCATACCTTTATGGAAACCCAACACTCAAATCAGGAAAATCCGTCAATTAGTTTATTAAAAAGCGTGAATTAAAATAACCCTGTCACGTTTTATTATATGAATATTATATCTTCTCCTATTTTTTACTAGTGGTGCTTAGGTGTACAATCTAAAAACTGTTTTAAAACATGTAACATTATTGCTAAAAAATTCAACACATTTTAGAATTAGGCAACTATTTACTAATTGGCCTACAATGCTTTGGTTCAAACTATTAGGCCTAGATAAAAACTTAGTCTATGTCATCATATTTGTACACGTAAGTTGGACGGTTCAACGACGAACATTTAATTTAAAATCTATGAATTAATTATGAAAGTTACGATGGTTGATGACTGTATTAATTAATGGTTTTGGTTTATTACGACATTACAATTAAATCTGTTTTCCGTGTTTAAGAACTTGCGTGTATTTTAGCTTATTTTTGTAGAGGTTTAATTATTTATTACCAATTAAACTAAATTTTGAATATTTTTCATATTCTATTATTTTCTTTTATACTGATGGCATTTATATTTAAGATCGAAATCATAAACATTTAACTGGCCATTGTACAGTTTAATAAAAAACACTTTTTCATGATTTTTTAATTGTCTTTTAATTACTTTGGGCTAGTTATCTGTTAAAAGTGGAATTGATAACAAAAAAAAAATTACATTTACTGTATCTTTATAGACACTGACATTTTGAAATACGGCAGTGTACGATTATTTTGTCGTACAAGGTTGGCAACGCTCCGAGCAGTGGGCGCGGCCGGGTTAGCGACTTCCAGAGTTAGCGAATTCCGCCGCGAGACAAAATCGAGTTAGCGGGTTCCGGAGTTAGCCAATTCCTGACTGAGACGGTTAGCCAGTTCCAGAGTTAGCCAGTTCCGCCACACGACCGAGTTAGCGAGTTCCTGAGTTAGCCAATTCCTACGTCTCGTATAATAAAGTGTTTTTGTACCATTGGTTATGGAGAAATCTCAAAAAATTTTAAATTTAAAATTCCCATGTCATTCTTATGGAGAATAAGTAAACTGTTGTAGTTTGCTTGTTTATGGATATATTTTGATCAAACTTGGCAAATCTATTTATTTTTTAAAGCTATTAATGTTTTACTAAAAAAAAAAAAAACACTTTATTACCCTCCCTGTAGTAGCAATGACTAGGTACTCGTTAAACCTAATGTTATTGAAATATATTTAATTGAAAATAAAATCAGGCAAATAAAAATTTGCTTAGTCTACAGGTTTTCTGCGGCGGGGGTATTTAATTGTTTAGCTCGTGGATTTAACCATATAAATTATACATAATAACTTATCTTTAAATAGCTTCTTAATGTTTAACGTTGGCATTAAAAAAAAAAACTATGACACCCCTTCTTGATACACAATATACTATCTTTATTTGGTTACTTCTATGAGTTACCAAACAGCATAAAAATGTGTTTTAAAACACACTATTTTCAGAACATTTTCCGGGAAAGGCCTCCAAACGGATGTTTGTTGTCTATTGCAGCACCCTGTTCCAAATCCTGCAGGCGCCCATGGGTTCGCCTTGAGGCAAGCCTTTGGATTTACCATTGCGTGTGGATCCGGATTTAGGGGTAGCAGCCACCTGCAAGAAGGCTACTATAACAGACACAGTTGATCTGTTTTTTTCTGCAAATATTAATATTTACCACCAAATGAAAATATACCTTTGAAACAATAACAGCATATAACCTAAAGATTTCAAATTCTGACCAAATGCTATTAGATAAAGCCACACATCCGAACCTAAGGGGTTTGGGCATATCCTACATATAGCTTATTATTTGTGTTTAATCAGTGAATTTACACAACTTTGAATTTGCATGTTACAAAATTTTTTAAATTAGTTTACTTAAAATAAATATTTTTAAAAGAACCCTGTGTTAGATGGTAACTATTGCCATTGACTGTATAAATGGCTATCAAAAAACAAGTGACAAAAAATCCATTGTCTTAGTTGCTGTGTTTCCTGTGTATAGGGACATAAAATATCATTATAGGGAAAGGGAGTACCAGCCCACTTAAATTATTTAAGTTAAAACTGGGCTGGGCTCACAGTGTCATCAGAACCCTCTACTTGGCAGCTTTACTTTATATTGTGTGTTGCTGCAGACACTTGATGAATTACTTTACTACTATACATTACTCCAGATTTCTAAGTACTTGTCCCATACTATCCCATAGACTCATGACTGACTTCATAGTGAATAGCAGCCTGGGCTGATAGCTTTAGCTATCCCTCCCCCTTGAGTCTGGGGCCCTTCCCCGGGAAAGTTTGTCAAAATTGAATTGCTGTAGTTGAGAACACGTTCTATCACTGTTTGAAGGTCAAAATACTAATCAATTTTTTGAGTTATTATATTTGTATTGGTTTTCTAAGCAAACTAATCAAAGCAATATTGTAAAAAGTATTCTTTGTGAAATTTGGTGCAGTGAGGTCAAAAATGCTGACAGCCCAGTCAGTCAATTTTTCGGTACAAAGTGGGCCTGCCCAGACCCTTAAATCTTGTCATTTGGTCCCAGGGGCATGTGTACTTGCCATATTCTTTCTAAAACCTAGATAAACAAACTGCTTCTTACTAAACTCCTTAGGGATACTGATAACTCGTCCCTCTACCTCATGGAAACTGTGACCAATTGACTCAAACTTCAGGGAAATGGCCAACTACAAGTCTCTAACTTACGGATATTTGTTACTTGCCTCCATACC